ATGAGAGAGGTGGGCAAAGTTGGTGGGGTGCGTCACTCGCTTGTACGCGTCACTCGCTTGTAAACTACGTTAGTTAACAAGAAATTAGCCCTTTCCCTTGTCTACGGTATCCGGCTATTTCTGTTCCGCGAGATCGTGATTGGCTTTTGTAATTAGCTATATCCGACAGACGGGGGTATTATGGTTCCAAATTCGCAATACTCCGATTGCCAATAGTAGCAACGGCTTCATACAGTTACATAGCCATCTACACTCTAAGTATCCCTCCAGCACTCTGTTAAGGATATGTCTGGCATTTCAAGAGCTTTTGTGTAGGTTGCGAAAATCAAGTTCGCCCTCCACTGATTTATAGTTGTTAGAGTTTTCCTCCTAGTCACGACAATAGCTTCACTAATAGTACGGTTGTCCCGTACTCGATAGTTAATTCAGAGAAAGCTTCTACAGCACCAAGCCTCAATGAAATCATTTCCAGTCGATGTAGTGTCTCAATCATCCCAGTAAGACCCCTCTTGAACACAATACTTCCAACCTCCGCCTCCGCCTCCGTTTACCCCTCCCGCCTGCCTTACACACGCATTACCATTTATTTGTGGAATACCCATACCCGGAACTGATTTTCGGTGCGCTTCGAATTGAGGGATACATTGTAAAATCTTAACCCCCTATCACTTGTGGGGGGTAAGCAGTATGATTATCAATATAGCTAAACATAAGCTATGATTGTAGGAATAATGCGTACGCAGAGAATATGGCCTCCAGCATTCTCGCATCAGCCGGCTGGCTCACCCACTGGTCCTTGTTCACCAGTCCCACAACACAAGTAATCTAGAAAATGTTGTTAGAAGCTGTCAAGAGGAAATGGGTGAGACAATATCAAAGGTAGCAGCGTACCCGCAAATGTCTGCTGAGGTGCAAAAATCAACAATCCAGTGATAAGAAGATACTTCATGTTGTGAAGTTGAAGAGAGTGAGATACAGATATGTTACTTGAGTGACAGTAGCTATTTCACCTGACTGAGACCAAGGAACATGTAGCAGCTAGAATGGTAAATGCTTATGGGTGCTTATAGAGTCATGTGTATGTTAACGCAACGCATTCCATGGTAAAAGTACCAGCCTGATACTAAAACTGTGTTTGTGAACTATGTGGGTCAACGCGTATTTGATATGTAGACTCGTGGCCCAGAATATAGGATAGCTATGCCAGATGAGTGTATCTTCATTTCGGTCTTGATACGTTAACAAACGGAAGTGTCTTGTAGTCGTCCCTGCCAACACAAGCAGTCTTGATCACCGAAGTACTACTACTGAAGCTTAGCCAGACCTGTGCTGCGTACGGTCTTCGTCCTTGTTGCTACGGCTAAATACTATTGATTCTTGAATGTGAAATACGGACATAGTAGATGGGATCCCATGTAGAGTCATTTTACATATTAGCTGAGTTTTGGCGGTAATCCGGTATTCCCTTGTACAATTCCTCCAATACGCAAGTGCTTTTATGCCAAGTCGCTTGCTTATGGACTAGTATATGGCCGTATTGCGCGTATCACATATACTTTGGTTTCCCCTGAGGGGCGCGATCCGTGCACTCCGATTGGCGCGCCCGATCGATGAGCCTAGCTCATATACGGCAACACCCGAATTTGGAGGTCCATGTTGTCAACAAACATTGAATTTCTCCTTCCGCCCTCTTATGCCATTGGCTCCCCACACCGCCTCCTTGGCTGCAATGCATGCTCTGTGACGAAGCACAATTGCCCTTTTCTTTCTCTTTTACATACTTTGAAGTTTGCATTACCTTTTGCCTTCGTCGAGGTTTCCAAGCGCCGCCTTGTACCTGAGCGCCCCTGAAACCACACACCGCCACCGTTACCCGCACAACAATCATGTCAATGCGAGTGACGCGATCCCAAGCGGGCAAGACCCCGGTGTAAGTCGAAGTATAAATGCACAAAAAAGGCCGACTGCTGACATACACGGCACAGCAAACCCGAACGTCCCGGTTTTGTTGAAACTCCAGGGCGCAGGAGGTCACAACGGCGCAAATCAGCCGTGGCCGACGCCGATATATATGAATCGACCCCAGAGCCTGAGGAAGCCTTCGCAAAGTCCTTATCATCCACCGACGGCACCATGCCCCCCAAGACAGCCCACACCAATGGCCATGCCAACGGAAATGGAACTACCAATGGACACGTCAACGGACACGCCAATGGACACAGCAAGCAGGAAAAGATCGAATTGGACTTTGCATTCGAGGCTGAAAAGTTTTTTGCCCCCAAGGATCCTTCTGGTCTGCATGAATTTGGAGGTGCAATTGGAATGGGCAGTATGATGATCTGCTTTCCTGCACTCATGTACTACATGTGGATTGGAGCCGCTTTTTACGACGGCAAATTCCCTACGCGTACCCAAGGCCAGAGCTGGTCAGACTTCTTTGGTCACATGTGGTATCTTGTTAAGACGGAAGCCTACCCCAACAACAAGGCATGGCAAATCTACTGGTTCTTCGGACTGATGCAAATGGCTTTTTACATGTTTATGCCGGGTGTCTACCGCAAGGGCAAGGCGCTTCCTCATCTGGGTGGAAAGCAGTTGGACTACTACTGCTCAGCAATGTGCTCCTTCTACTCTAGCGTCGTCATCATGCTGGCTCTACACTTTGGCGGCTACTTCAGGCTTTATACCTTGATTGACGAGTTTGGCCACATCATGAGCGTTGCCATCATTTCTGGCTTCCTCTGCTCGACCATCGCATACGTCTCTGCTCGCGTCCGTGGCGCAACCGTCCGCATGACCGACAACTTCATTGTTGACTTCTTCCTCGGTTCTGAGCTCAACCCCCGTCTCTTCGGTATTTTGGACTTTAAGATGTTTCTTGAAGTCCGCATCCCATGGTTCATACTCTTCTTCCTTTCTCTCGGCACGTGCTTGAAGCAGTACGAGCAATACGGCTACGTTTCCCTCGAAGCCATCTTCCTCCTATTCGCACACTACCTCTATGCCAACGCCTGTGCAAAGGGCGAGCACCTCATCATTACAACCTGGGACATGTACTACGAGAAGCTTGGTTTCATGCTCATCTTCTGGAACATGGCTGGTGTGCCTTTGTCGTACTGCCACTGCACCCTGTACATCGCCTACCACCACCCCTCCGAGTACGACCTGCCGACCTGGTTCACCGTTCTTCTGACTCTTGGCTACCTCTATGCCTACTACATCTGGGACACGACCAACTCGCAAAAGAACCAGTTCCGCCAGGAGGAGCGCGGTGTGGTTGAGGAGCGTACCACTTTCCCCTACTTCAAATACGGCCGCATCGAGAACCCCAAGACTATCCAAACCGCCCACGGAAACAAGATTCTTGCCGATGGCTGGTATGGAAAGGCACGCAAGATCCACTATACTTGTGACTTGTTCTTTGCCATCAGCTGGGGTCTCATTACCGGTTTCAGCAGCCCGTTCCCTTGGTTCTACTCGGTCTTCTTTGTCGGCATGATTATTCACCGCGCAATGAGGGATATCGAGAAGTGCAGGGAGAAGTATGGTGAGGCATGGAAGGAGTACGAGAGGCAGGTGCCTTATCTTTTCATCCCAGTAAGTCGACATGTTCTCTTTGGCACATGCATTTCTTGCTAACATTTTTCTTACAGTACGTCTTTTAAGTATGCAACTAAATCGGTTTCATTCGAAACTCCATCTTATCTGTCCATATACAGTTTCTGGCTCACGCCTCAGCTCACTCGGAATTAATCGTGTACATGATTTTGATTCATCCCATGTTCGTCGGACTTGGCGTGTACTATGCTGGATGGCTGTATTTTATCTCTAATGGTAAGGGGTTCTGTGTATAAAAAGACACTAGATGAGGATACGTATTGTAAATGGTTGTAATGGAGGTAGTAATGCATATATCAAGTTTATCACCGATAATGTTATTTGTTCACACTTGCACTGACTGGAATCTTTGGCATGACAATGAGTTTAGAAAAAGACCAAAATATTAAAATAGCAAGATCTATAGTAGAAAAGTTGACAAGCAAAGACATTTATCCCCTGCGTCTCGTGCTTGGGCTCTTGCCAGCCGCGCGACCGGTGGACACGGAGCGCGTTGCCTCCTTCTTCTCGCCCCCAGCGACAATGGGCTTCTCGAGTTTCTTGGACTGAGTCTTCTTGGATGCAGGCGCATTCCAGTAGTACATGACCTGGAGGAAGAGGATAACATTGAGAGCAAAGCCAGCAATGAACCCGTAGAGGATGAGGGGATCATCGACTTCCTGGATAGTGGTGAAGATGCGAGAGAGGGAGCCGAGAAGGTAGTTGATAACCTACATCACACAACACGTTAGTCCTGATACCCCCCAAAAAAGGGGTGATATGATGAGAAGTCCGCATATAGAAAGGCGAAAAGGAAAAACAAAAGAAGACCAACTTACAGCAAAAGCACTCAACTGACCCGTACCGCCCTCACTCCACACCGTCAAAATCTGGGGCACCTTACTCGCAACCCCCAACACACCGGCACTCGCCTGCAAAATCGCCAACCTCTCCTCACCCACAAGCTCCTCATTAAACAGCGCCGCGCCCGCCGCCATCAACCCACCCACCCAAGCCGCAATGCCCAAACCCCTCCCACTATATTTCAGCACAAGACTCGCAATCGCAATATTCTGCACCAGAATCAACGCCGTCTCGCCAAACGTGCTAAACGGGAACCCATGGCGCACGTTGTACGCGAGCGAAATCAAGTACGAGCTGGATTCGAGCAGGTAGGACAAGAACGAGAGGCCGTCTGCGGATTGCGAGTTGAGCAGTTTGAGGAGCTGGGGGATTTTGACAATGGAGGAGGCGCCGATGATGCCGATGCCGAGGCCTTTGGATATGCCGAGTTTGACGCATTCGGTGGCGCTGAGGTCGACGTTGTAGATGAGGGTTTGGTAGCAGGTTGGGCCGAGGAGCGAGATGCCGATGTCTGCGATGGGTTGGGGGAGGGCGCGGGTTAGGGGTTGGAGCGTGGATTGGAGGGCTTCCATGGTGGATGTGGGGTTGATAGTATGTGTGTATGTATGCGCCTGGCGGAAAAGGGGTGTGTGAGAGAGAGAGAGAGGGTTTGGGTGGGTTGGCGGGAAGGACACTTTTCGGATGCCGATGTTAGAAACAGGGTCCAACAAAAGTGTCTTGTTCAAAGGATCCACTGACGCAACGCTTGGCGTTAGCGTGCAGGGGGGTCCAACCATCACCTACATACGCGATCTGCTCCCCCAGAAAAAACATAAGTAAAGATTACATATAAATCGGATTGCACTTTTATGCTACAAATCTCCATGGCACCATTTCCTCTAGGGAGATTGAATTCCTGTCATGATAATCCCCGTTCCACACAACTCCTTGTTCCCAACCAAGACGCGATACACGCGCCTCGTCCTAACCATAGCAACTCTTCGTACGCTCATCGGCACACCAACTTCTGCCAAGAGAAGAGAATGCGGATATTTAGGAAATTCAATCCCCTCCGCCAATACATTGTTGCTCATAGACAATCGTGCACCTCAGCCCTTCTTCATATTTGCTGGGGCATGTTTATAGCATGTGGTGGAGGCACAGGCGTAATATCCCTTCGATCAGACAGGTCTCCCGTTTGGGACATGGGCTGTTGGTTCTGTATAATGGCATTATGTGGAGGTGGTGGTGTAGGAACAGGCGAGATACCGGCAGGTGGATGGTATCCTGTATCCGTAAGTCTACCAGATACTGGGTTGTAGACGCCGGTCCTAGATTGAAGCTCGTAGTTTTCGTCCTCTTCCGAAGACGAGTAATCATAAGTGTCCATCCGGCGTTGGCGTGCGACATCCGCGGCGAAAGGATTGGTAGAGGGCAGTTGATTGGTGTACCTGTTGACCTTGGAGGAGATACCGGATGTCATGGTTTCGGTTCGGTAATTACTCGATGCGCCCGTGTCACTTCGGTTTACGCCATACTGAGATCCCGATTCCTGTCGTCTTCGCTGAGAATTATGAATTTGTTGGCGAAATACATTTCCTCCAACATCAGCGTCTGGAGGAACCACGGCTGCGGCAGAATACCCCGATGCTTCCCCACGCTCTTCGTCTACTGGCTTGTTGATATCTCTTAACGTCTGCACGTCGTCATCCATCATCATTGGTGCGTGTGGTGGTGGTGCGCGTGATGCTTTGCCCCAGGCACGAATAGGATATGCGCGTCCCTTGCGCCAGGTCTCAGAAACAGGAGGGAAGTATTGTCGGTAGGAGCCCCATGCTACGAGTATGCCAAGCAGGGCGCCTGAAATGACATCGAAGGGGTGGTGGCGGGCGTCCATGATGCGGGTTCCGGTAATGAGGGCAGCGCCGAGTGCGGGGACCATGACAATGAACGTTCTCCAAACCTCACCCTTGGCGTCCAAAACATGGAGTTTGCCGGCAAGGTAAATGGAGAGATAGAACAGGCCGGCAAAGGAAACTGGGAAATGTCAGTAAAATTACCATGCAAGATAAGTTAAATACTGTACCACTGCTGTGTCCAGAGGGGAAGCTCTTGAAGCCATCTTGCAGAATGTAGTTGTCCTTTTGGGTGCAAATGTCAATGGTCTGAAGGGCGTAGCGCTCCGTGTTAATCTTGGCTTGGTCCACAAGACACCTGTCGGCTGTCAGTCAACGCTCCTAGTGTGCCTGAGACCAAACTGACCGGCTAATGAGGTCCGGCCGTGGCTTTCCAATAGCATTCTTCAAAGCTCCAGTGATTGTAAAAGCAGCGCCAACACTCAGGGCCAGCCCAAGTATACCGCAGTTCAGCTCCCACAGCCTATCCTTGAACCTGTATCTTCCCGAAAGACGCTTGAGTCCGGTGCGATTGGCAGGCGTGGCGGCCTGATGCGAGAACAGACCATCGATGACCATAGTGTATATGCCAATGATGACAGCGGGGGCGAGGATGACGTAGACACAAAGCCATATGACGGGCACGCGCTCTTTGGTGGCGAAGGGGTAGTGGAGGGTGTAGTTGTCGAGCGAGAAGTGCTGGTGGAAGGGGGGGATCTTGTCGACAATGGCAAAGGTAAGCATCAAAACGCTGTGAGGGTGATTAGCCTTGGTAATGAGCCGGGAAGGAAGGAGGTCGTGTGCGGCGGAAGGGGCGGCCCTACATGATTATGAGATAATCACCGATATACCTGCTCTGGTCAGCACTCAATACGCCTGGATGGTTGCCGGCTCGACGCACGAGAAAATGACTTTTTTGGAGAGGCGCTTCTTGGAGAAGGGCAGGCGCTCAGGGAGCTGCTTGGACGTCCAGTCGTCCATGGCGCACTACAGAGCCCGGGCGGCCGTTGAGAAGCAACAGTGCTTGGTCGTTTCCAGCCGCAGCCGCAAGTGTGAGGCCCTGCTGGTGGGTATACACCACGCTGGTGGGCGGTGAGAGGCGCGGTCAAAGGCTAGGGGGAGGGGAGACTTGGGAGGCTCGCGGACGGGGTGAGCCCAAACATGCGGCCCTCGCAGAGAGGCGCGTGGGAAAAGAAAAAGAGGGAAATGGGGGCAAGGCAGAGTGCGGGAAGACCGTATAAAACAACGGACGAGATGGAAACACAGTCGTATTTGCCCTTGGCTAGCACCGCCCCAAGAAAGCTCAAAGGAGCATGTCTAAGAGGACGACCACGCCCTCCCTGTGTGCTTGCAGGGTGGCTGAGAAGCTGACGCGCTCCCATCGCTTGGCTCTCCACAGCCTGGCCGCTAGCCGCCTCGAGATCAGCGTTTGGTTGAATGAAGCGACCTTGGATGCCGGCCGGAGCTTTTTGGGTATATTTAGTCGTGCCTCGGTGCGCTTGGGGTTAGGGAAGATGCATGCGGCGGCTGCTTCTGGCCCGGCCTGTCTGCTATACGCCCAGCAGGGCCTCGCTGGCCGCTCTCATCCACACATGGTCGTGACAATAGGCCTAGGCGACTGCATGTGCCCCGTCTTGCTTGCATCCATCGCCCCGACTTAGCGCGCGTTGGCGATCGACTTATTTCGTCGCCGCCTCAGGGTCCGACTCTCTGCTCGTACATCAATTCCTGCCTCGCCGCAAACCCGCCATGTTCTCCAGGTTCGCCAACGACAAGCAGCCGGCTCCCAAGGCCGCCGAGGTCGCAATCGCCAAAATCTCAAACATCTCGGCAACCCAGCTGTCCCGCTTCGAGCGTCTCCCAAAGATTCAGCGTTATGCCATCCTCGGCGCCGCCTCGGTCGGCGGCCTGTCCCTTCTGTGGGCATTGACTTCCTCATCAAAGCCTGCAAAACGACTGCCTATCCCCTCTCCCCGTCGTTCCTTGCTACCCGACATCTCGCCTGAGGATGTTGCCGACCTGCCCTACCATCCCGCTGCTTTACCAGGTGCCCGGGATGTGGATTCGCCCTTTGGATCTATCCGCGTCTACGAATTCGGCCCCAGGGATGGTGAAAAGGTTCTCCTAATCCACGGCATCTCGACCCCAAGTATCGCTCTGACCGATCTTGCGCACAAATTGGTGGGCAGGGGACGACGTGTCATGCTCTTTGGTGGGTCCTTCTCTTGTTGTCATCGTCATCACTAGCCTTTGGACCATCCATCTTTGCCCATCGTCAACCCGACATGACAAGGAAACCCCGTGTAGGCGCGACCCAGCGCATACATCTGTTCCCAGAACTCTTTTGGTCGCACAATGTGTGGGCAATACCCCGCGCCCACGCTGGATCGTCCTTTGCGCATGTGCTTTGCCTGTTTAGGTAAGGGTCCCGCCAGCCCTACCAAACGGTGAAGCACGTGCGCCGCACGTCCGATCCTGCATCAGATCTACACAACGGCTTCAAGTCATAGATTATGGACATGTTGGGGGCCTGAGGCTGAATGTCTTTGGAAAAGTCGTTCGACGCCCTTGCATTCTGCCATTGTTTCATTTCTATCACATAACACTGCAAAGCTAACCAATGGACCAGACCTCTTTGGCCGTGGATACTCGGATGGTCCCTCGCCTGAGACTACCAATTATGATGCCACCCTATACACCACCCAAATCATGCTGGCCCTTCAGTCATCATCACTACATTGGTCAAACTTCACCATTGTTGGCTATTCCCTAGGCGGTGCCATTGCTGTTGACTTCACATCCTACTTCCCTCACCTGGTCAAGGGCCTTGTACTCGTCGCCCCAGGCGGTTTGATCCGCAAGTCACACGCCTCAATCTCAAGCAAGATGCTTTACAACAGCTCCTGGATGCCTGAATGGATGGTCCGTAGACTAGTCGCAAGTAAACTCTGGACCGGCGCCAAAACCGTCGAGACCGACCCCGAAGCCATCGAAAATGCCGAGACCACAACCACAACCACCAGAAGCGAGGGCGACAAAACCTACGTCTCAAGCAACCAAATGCTCCTACCCGGAAACCCACACAGCACCGTCTCATCCGTCGTAGACTGGCAAATCAAAAACCACAAGGGCTTCATCCCAGCATTCATCTCTACCATCCGTCACGCCCCCGTCTTCAACCAGCACGACCGCTGGAACGTCATCCGCGAGAACATCGAATCCCGCGCCGGTCCCCTACGAGAAGTCTGGCTCGTCCTCGGCGAAACAGACCCCATCATCATCGCCGACGAGATAACAGAAGACGCGCGCGCCGCCCTGGGCGAAGAAAACCTCCGCGTCAAGGTCCTCGACGGCGTCGGCCACGAAGTCGCCATCGAGCGCGCCGACGACATCGTCCGCGTCGTACGCCGCATCGACGGCAAAGCCGAAGTCCGCGAAGTCAGAGAAGTCCGGGAAGAAGAGAAGCCGGAGCGCTACGAAAAACCCGAAAGGCCCGAGAGGTCGGAGAGGTCTGAGAAGCCTGAAAAGGCAGACAAGCCAGAGAAGACGGACAAGAGCGAGAAGAAGGAGAAGAAGAGCTCGAGTCGGAGGAAGCATGGGGGGTCGCATGCTAGTTCCAGCACAAAGTAAGGGGCTTGTGTGTATCACTGCATCCTGGTTGGTGCCTTGACATACAAATCACCTGAACAATCTAAACAAGTCTATAAAAGATGAGAAATAAACATGTATAACGCATTATGATGTTCGGTTGAGAAGTTAGAATGGCGTCATAAAAGACAACTCTTAAACATTGATTTCACTGCATGTGGCAGTAGATCTTTCTTCCTATATGAAGCATTCAGATGCGTATAATACAGTAAAGATTGGAGACATGTGACTGGCAGTCGAGTGTTCAAGCAAGTAGAATCTCACGCCTTTGGCCTCCCCTCCACAAGCGCCAACTGCTTACGTTCCTCCTCCTCCAACTCCCCAGCCTCATAATACAAATCCTCCTCATCAATATCCGCATACCCAAAAACACTCCTATAAAGCCGCTCGCCCAGCCCCTTCTTCTGCGCCATAGCCAACACCATGACAATTGGAAGGTGCCAGATACTCGCCCAGAACAGACCCCTCGCCGTGCCCTTGTTCCCCTCAGCCTTCCAAAACTGCCAAGCCTTAAGCACCATCCAGCCATTGACTGCGCTACTGGTGACTACGTAGCTCCAATCGGTGACGCCGCTGTACGACAAGCCAATGCAAATGGGAAACATGAGAATGGCATATCTGAGCGCAACACGACCGTTCATGGCGGGATTAACCCAGGCCAGCATGCGATACCCCGCGTTACGGTACTCGTCGCGGATAGACCAGCTCAACGCGTTGAAGTGGGGAAACTGCCAGGCGTACAGGAGCGCGGCGCATAGCCAGCCGCCAGCGGATCCCTCGCCGAATAGCAGTTCCTGCCATGTGCCGTCGTGGGCGTACTGGTTCGCAGCCGCCGTCCAGCCCATTAACGGTGGAATTCCTCCGACTACGGCGCCCACCCATGTGTTGAGCACGTGCATGCGCTTCATGGGCGTGTACACGCCGGCGTAGAGGACAATGTTTGCTGCGCCGAGAAACGCCGTGGTGGGATTGACGCCGTAATATAGTGCGCCGGTGCCGAAGACGCCGCAGGCAATGGCGAACGCAATGGCCCCGCGTGGGCTGATGAGTTTCCGGACGAGCGGCCGGTTGCGCGTACGGCTCATTTTGGCGTCGTGCTCGGGCTCCATGAGCATGTTGAGAGCATTTGCGGAGGCCGAGCAGAGCGCTGTCCCCGATGTAAGGAAGAAGAGTGTAAGGGTTGAGAGCGAGGGTGTGGCGGTTGCAGCGGGAGCTAGCAGTCCGGGGACGGGGTATAAGGAGTATGCGGCAGTAGCAGTGAGGACGACGAGGAAGGAGAGGCGGGGTTTCGATAGTGAGAGGTAAGTGGTTAAGAGGCGCTTTAGAGATTGATTCGGGAGACTCGAGGATATGTTTGCTAGTTTCGACGACGCATCGTGGGGGATGGGATAGGCTGTCTCCGGATCTTCCATTGCCTGCTCTTTGGCTTTTTTCCGCCGTCTATGTGGGAGGACTTCTTCTGCTGTGGCCGTAACATTCTCTTTATTTGGCTGCTGTCCATTTCCCGATCGTATTGAAACGATTGAACTCTGCAACTGGTGTTTCGATGTCCAAAACGAATCCTTCAATAATGGATTCGCCCGGAAATAGCCGTTGGCGAAGGTGTTGGTGTCTTTCCCGGCAGTCACAGCACTGGCTCTATACGACGAAATCGACGAGAATGCCTGCCGTGACTGTGGCGGCGCTTTGGAAAGCCTCCTCCAGCATCGCAGGCATACTGAGTTTTTTTCCCGCACTGCAATTGGCCGGGGCAGTAGTGGTCGGAAGCTCATGGCGGCATGGGGGGTTGAGCTCCAGCGGACGGCCAGTTTAGAGGTCGATGATGAACTTTTGGGAGGCACATGGACGCAATGCCAAGACCCCGCGGCACCAGCCACTCAGCCATCGCCCATTAACATTAGCTACTACAACACTTACTAACCAACTTACTGCAAGCCACATTCATCAGTCAGTGGTCAGTGTACTGATAGATAGAGGAAATTAGACGATAAATCTCCTTCTCCTTCGAGTTCCAAATACCATGGCCATCACGCTACTACTATATCCAAATCTGGAAGCTTGTGCTGGACAATCAGCTTATAAAACCATGGGCTCAGATCGTGATACAACATGGCGATTGAAAGCAGTGTCTGCGGCTGTGTTCTGCATACCGCATGATTCCAACCTAGGCTGAATACAATTATATATTTTGTAGAGCCACCTTCTGGATTCTGTCCACCAATTAATGCGCGTCAGCCTGCAGCAGACCTACCACTTCGAGTTTCGGCCCCCAGGACCACTATGAGGAGGCTGTGTAAGCCACAGAGCCATTACCTGTGGCTTTCAGGACACTGTCCCTTTCTCCACGGTCGCTGAACCGTCGTTTGTATCTTCACCCACTCAGATGGCCGAAGTCATTGGCATCGTTGCGTCGGCCATCACCATCGGCGCGAGTGCAGCTCAACTCTCGCTTGCCCTGTTCGATGTAGCACACACAATCAAGAACGCCCCCAAACAGATTGGGGAGATTGGTAGGTATTCCAACCCTCCACACATAGGACGGCCTTCTAACAATAACAGCGGAGGAATTCTCCTTGGTTTCTGAGAGTCTGCAAACACTTGCAGATATCATTCGCGCCAATCAGAACTTGTGCAAGCCAGCGCTTTTTAAAAATACCCATACCATAATTTCACGGTACAAACAAGTCGATGCCGAGATCAAGAAGTTGATAGATACGCCCCGGAAACTGGCAGGACTCCAGTGGTACATCAACAAACCCAAAGCAAAGGGGCTTTTGAAAAAGGTTGAAGGTATCAAAACCGCTCTCATCCTGGAACTGAACATCATACGCCTTGCGAGAGAAGAATTCACTCGTCCGTATGTCTCGTCATTTCGTCGCATGTTAGGTATCCGCTAACCTATGTAGTCAAACTGAAACTGGTCCCAGTATTTCAGTTGGACTTCCACCAAATTTCAACCGGTTTCGAAAAGTGGTAGAGAGCGCTGTTCAGGCCAACCGCAAAGTAGTAGAGAACGCGCAACAGGACGACAAGGATTCCGGTACCGGAAGACAAAAATACACCAATGCAGAATTGGATATATGGAAAGAGGGCTCTTTCGACACTGCAACATGGCTATATCACCTAGTCTTCAGCCCCGACATGCCCGATGCATCTGAGGCAAATGCAAAAAGACGTCGGCTCCACCAAGCCTCTGTTGCTGATGAGTCCCACTCCTCTGAAGAGGATTCAACTTCGCATAAACAAGAAGAAGATTCAGAAAAAAAGTCCATGATTGTATGGAACAAGCAAACCGAACCTGGCTTGGTTGTAGACAGGCTCCTCTCCTCCTGGACTACGTTGTCCTCTGATCAGATCACTCGTAGCGCAGCCAATCAAGATGGCAACGAATGGAGAGAGGATCTCTTGAAAAACATTGAACAGGCGAAAAAGGAAGATGACTTATCTTTCGATCAGTGGGAGTTACAGAACGAGCCAGTGAGATCAGACGACGAAGACTTCAAGAGTTTTGATGATGATTCTCTGAGCGGTATCACTATGCCAACATACAATTTTCACAGCAACACCAGGAATCACCGCAGCCGTAGTGTATCGAAACCGGGTGATGATGATGATCCGTGGTCCTTCAAGTCTGGCGAGTCGCCGGTACATCGTGATGTACAACCCAATCGGCCCAATATTGTCATTTACAACACTAGTCGCGAATCAAGGCCAAAGCGGTCAGCTGGTGAACACCGGGTGAGGTGGGAAGAAGACATGTTACCTCTTGAGCGCGAACGCGAGCGCGAACGCCGCCAAAGGTACTCGGGATACACAAGACCTTCGTATGCTGATAACGAAAGCATTACCTCCAGAGTTCATACTATAAGCAGTGATCGGACTGCTTCTACAAAGGGTAGACCTACAAGTAATCTCTCCAGCGCAACCGCATCCAGCCACAATCCATTTGATCCGAGACCTACTCCATGGCATGACCGCTTTGAACGAGTGCCATCATGGGAGGAACCAGTCTCAGCATTTCCACAAGGGTCGTCAAATCCTTTCAGCCATCCTATCGATCCTTGGGCTCATTGGTCCTCTGCCGCACCTCCCTATTATGCTCCTCCTCCTCCACCTGCTCCAATACCACCGCCAACTCCAACTCAATTCCACCCGAATCCATCATTCCAAGATACTCATACTTCTCCTCCCCCTCGTGTTTCTCCAGAGGAGCAGCCAAATGAAGCCGAAACAGCGGCGAAAGAGAAAGCCATCGTGACCGCGATAGAGAAACTGCTGGAAAAACGAAGCCAAGACAATCAGTTGGATCCAAACGAGCCACGCTTCTTGAAACTGGTGGAACTCTTGACTGCACAGCAAGAGCGTGAAGCACAGAATGAACGCGAGCGAGCCAATGCAGCCACCGAAACTCAAATAAAATTGATGCAAGCAATGCATGACAAAGACAACGAACGATTGAAGCAACTCGAAAGCCTTGTTGAAGAGAAAAGGGGTGTAGAGGTGGCGTTACAAACTATGTGGAAGGAAGAAGCTGAGAAAAAAGCCCAAGAAGCGAGAAATTCTGTCATGGAAGAGATGGCTGAGAGGCAAGCATTGGCAGCCAAAGCAAGAGACGCCGAGAGACAAACACAAAAAGAGGCCGAAGCAAGGGCGGCTAGAGAAATAAAAAGACTTGAACGTAATCACCAAAAAGAAATCAAGCGTTATGAGGATTTGCTGCGAGGTTTTCAAGATCAACAGTTGAAGGCAGAACAGGATGCACAACTACCGATACGCCGAACTCGCATTGCTGAAGGTAATCGCAGTGTTGATGTCACGGAGTACTCAACTGACAGACGGAATCCCTTTCTATCATCTTCGTCCAATCTAAGAAACCTCCAGTATGGATTTGCTCAATTTGGAACAAGCCTTAAACCTCCCAATGCCCAGCCTCAGCATCCACGGCACTCACGTCGCAACAGTTTTCGCAGCTCAACTCCATCTTTACAGTCTTCACATGCATCAATAGGGACTGGGAATACGTCTAACGCGACTGAAACCTCCCAGCAGCTGATCATCTTTCCAGCGAAAGCTGATCGAGCATCACGACAAATAACAAAGCTCCAGACGTCGCTTGCTGCACATGGCATCGACTCCACCTTTGAGGACCCGGATGAAGACCCCGGCAATCAAATGATACCCTACAATCACGATGAATCGGGCGACCAGTTGGTGCGAAGTACCATTTTCTGGGAAGCGGCAATGCTGAGCTTGGGAAGCGAGCTTCTATTGACCATGCGACAAGCTGGATGGAGACCAGCGTATACGAGAACTTCTGGTAGGAGTCTTCTATCTCATTCCAATCTCATTGTACTAACATCATTCAGAAAAAGGACAAACCCACTTTCTCGGGAATCAACCGGTGCATGCCTATTTCTTTAGTCCAGACTACAAGCCTCAATTTTCTCCGTCCACGAGATCGTCCTTCAAGGAGACCATTGTTATACAAAAATCCCTGGTGGAGGAATACGCACTGATTGAGTTGGGCTTCGAGTTTGAAGCCAAGGACTCGGGAGTCTACGTCCTAGATGGAAGACTTACTTATGTGAGTAAACTCGGGTGTTGTCGATGAATGCAAGTCTAATACGATATAGAACGACATTGAAAGCCTTGTAGAGAGATCATTTCTGATGAGAGAGAACAATTATCGACGGCTACACCGACAGCTCCAATGGCACTACGACAAAGGTACTAACAAAGCATCCTCAACGCGACACGATAGATCATACACGCCATCAATAGCTTCTACAGCATCCATTTACTCGGGAGACGGCGACCACACATCTTGCGCCGACAGCGATACAGACACTGAAGCCAAACAAAGCTCCAGAGCTACCACCGTCGCTCGCTATGACCATAGTGATGACGACGGCGATCACGTGTCTACGCGGAGTAGAAGCAGCAGAGGCGGGAGCCCGGTCAAGTCGCCCTCGATTGTTTCCTGGGAGTCAAAGTCAACCAATCCCTTTCGTAAACACATGATTCAGGTCAAGGAAATCAAGGATGCTCCAAAGCCGCACTCTCCCAGCGTGAGTATTTGGGATGATCCGGCGCCTGAGCCACTTGTGTAGTGTTCTGATCAGCAGAGCTCACATGGATGTAAATGTAAAAACTCTCTAGTGATAGATAAGTAAGGTATGTAAGAGAAAATATGGCAATCGAAAGGCGTTTTCATGGTACCCACAGGCAATCGGGAACAAGCCTCAATATGTAATATCCTTTGTGGGCTCTGTGTCTATATCAAGATAGTTTCTATTTGTCGTACATTTAAATACCGCTTGAATGTAGCCTACGAGCATATGATATATCTACCTAAGCTGCTCTTTCTTACAGTGTGCAGTGGTTCAATACAAAGATCGCCTGAATCGCCGCTGCCAGGCGCTATCATCCTCCAGGTTGTTTGGGTTAAGACCTTTGTTCAGTTGTTTGATATGTAGCTCATGGCATTCATTCGATATGCTGCTAGCAATATGACATGTTTCCCTGTTCGGCAGAAGGCATAATGAATGTGTCGTGCAGGTAAACACGGCTTACCGAGCTCCTTCCCATCCACTTCTTCTGTTTTGGACTAGGCTGAGGTGAGACTAGCTTGCAGGCTCACCATATAGATACCTGCGCTGCTCCCGTTTCATAGAGGGCAGTGATCCAATACAAACACTACCTGGGCCATTGCCACCATGAGATATTCTCCTGCACACAATGTCTTATCAAGAAGAATAAGTGAGAGACAATGCCTCACGTATCACTGTACTCGAATTCACCTCAGTGAAAGCGCTAATGAGACAGCAAAACTCACTTCACCTCAGTACGATCACCGGTCACGGGCTTTTTTTTCACATCTCACTGCGTAAGCCCTCCTCCCGTCCTGCATTTATATACTCGCCCTCCTCAAGGTAAACCATTACATCCCACTCAACCCCACGTTCGATCAAAACTTTCTTTTGTAGCCCACAAACATGTCTTTTTCCAAGCTGTCAACCGAGTTAGACACCAAGATCTTGGAATACCTACACGATGACCGCCCATCTCTCACCGCCATGTCAATGGTATCCAAGTACTTCCGCCGCATAACCGAGCCAATCCTTTATCGTGACCTCTGTTTCCCCGAAATGACAACCATCCAAATGAAGCAACTCCTCACGATAGTTCTATTGCGACCACAGCTCGCAAAGCACGTCCGCAGTTTCACAATGGTACCCAAGAGAAGGAACCCACTCGACCGCACCGACAACACTCCTTCAAAAGAGGAGATGGAGGCATGGAACAATCTCCACCAAGCTAACTATCCCGCCCTCTTCGCGCTGTCCCAAAAGCTGAAAACCTTCCGCCTGAACCCCCAGTTCGTCCAAATCTGGTTCATTCACATCTTAGACTGCGCTTTCTCACACTATCTCGCCTCCCGCGACCCATTTCTCGATCCCTTCCTCGCTGCCTTCCTCATCTTAACCACCAATATCGAAACCATCAACTTGACCGCTACCTTGGGGGAAAGCTTACGGAAATGTCGCGCAATCCTCAGCATTCCTTGGTCTGGTTATCCTGTCGATGGCACACAGCAGGAGCAGGAGCCCTTCAACAAATTATCAGACCTGTGTATAGCAGAAGACAGTTTCTGGGAGAATTTATATGACCGTTCATTTGACGTCTCGATCCCGAGCCGTGTAAAGCGCTTGCGGCTCCCAGGCTGGGACATGAGCGCTCTCCATATGCAGGGTGAGACGATGTTAGCGCTTCAGCATCTGGATTTGCGGCATGTGACTGTTTCCCCTGCAGACCTGGTTCAGTGTTTGCGAACTGGCCAACTCGCTAATCTCCGTCATTTGAATCTGGGTGGCATAGAGGAGCGGGTTGATCCCACACACGGAGGACACCTTGATATCACTATATTGGGTAGGGGGTTAGCGCAGCATACCCCGTCACTAGAGGTGTTGGAGATGCGAGAGACTGCTTATTCAGTGGTTTATTGCTTCAATATCGGGTCGCTGGTGGAACTGACGAGGTTGCATACGCTGCGGATTGATATCATTCATCTTGTGCTTGCCGGTGGGTCGGGGTACGATGATCCAATTGATCCGCATCGGATTCTTCCGGCGTCGCTGCGGCATCTGGAACTTACGGAGTTACAGGCGGAGGATGTTAATCAGTATTGTGAGGAGGCGGGGAACGACGAGATACGACCGAATCACACGCAGTTTATCGTCAATACTGTGCGGACGTTTTCGTTACTCGAGTCGTTGAGAATTCACGTCTTTATATACGGTTATAATGCTCCTCATCGCACTATATCCAAGGTCCTGTCAAAAGCGAGTGTGGATCTGCTTCTTGGTCTTGAGAGGAAAGGAGGGGAAAGGGAGTTAGAGATTGGAATACATTCTCTTCCTTGATGAGCGTGACTGAGCATTCATTGCTCTGGATTAAGAAAGTTGTGTGGAACTTTATACCATATTCTGCGGAGTCATCGCAGGATAAGGAACAAACGGGAATGATGACACTCGACAATCAAAAGTCAGTTCTAAACCAAAGAATTTATTGTATAGCATGTACTTTTCAATAATGCAAAAGCTGTTCAACCTCATCACACATGTAGTCTAATCAATGATAATTCTTCGAACATTCTGTAAGGATTTCGTAAAGTCACTTGAGCACACTGCTTTGACGCATGTCCTAGCTTTCGACTGAAGTGAAGCACTCAAGGTCCCAATGCTAACGGACATACCGTCATGATGATATGTTGCAAATGTGTTACGCCCCTTTTTCCATGAAGAAATAGTGAAGGGGTAATTGACACTGCGTTCATATATCGCCGTCTCGGAGAGTAGGTAAGAGATTGGCAACTCCAATACCTCTCGCAGTAATTTTGGCGAATGTCTTAGGGCTACAGCCTCTTACTCGTTCCTCCAACATCACCCAGCACAGGTGCACCATGCAGAAAAACAAAACTCTTTCATTGTCCTATCAAAATGTTATGTACACGGCAGTCCTTCGCAGTGAGAATGCTCCGCCTTTGTTTTCGTATCCGTAATCGCAATCGTTTTTTGTCTCGCGTGCGTAATCGCGGTAGAATTGACACCGACCAGTTTATTGAATCAGAGATGCCGTCAAAGCGTCCGTTATGTAACAAGGTGGGTGTGCCGAACGCTGAAGTCATGCGGCCACATCCAAATCTACCAGCGAACCACTTAAGCACCCGAAGGAGAGAGTTCGAAGGCGGATGAGGAGAGCTGCTCAGCTTATACACGCTAGGCTTTCATCATCTAGAATGCGCTGTTAGCTGGGTTCTCGAATTGTCTGAAAAAAGAGGCGCTTACATTTTACAAACTGGAGGGATAGCGAGAGGAAGTTGGGTCAGGGCTACAGAAAGATTTTGAAGCTCCGAACGATGGTCCATGCGCAACTAGTCCAAATAGAGTTTAGTTGAATATCGGCCTTGGCAGCATATCGAGATTTGGCAGCGAAGGCATTGAACCAGTATCTTCGCATCTAAACAATTTCAGGGTCCAATCGGCCGGCATCTATGAGCATGAGTCTCCTACATGCATCGAAGCATGTAGCAAATCGGGGTGCATGCTTGCGCAATTCCTATGTGGAAATATCCCGTTTCTTCAGACCACGCCATCACGAGATCACGGCGAATCGAGTAACATCGGGGTTGCCAATCTCGATCCGATGCCTTCAGACGTTGCAGCCGACTCAAGAGAATTTTTCACCGGATGAGAAACTCAGAAAGACGCTCGATGACTTCAAGGCGACCAGTATGTTCGCCCCACCAAGTCTAGTTCCAGCACTTATTGAAATGCAGTCCGGTCCTCATGGGAGAAACTTGATAATGCGTGGAACGACGGGCAACTAATTGACCACGAGATTGGTCAAGAAATTGAAATTTTTGGGTATATGAGTACTCGACGAGATGTCAGCAGCAAGCTCTCGTTCACTATGCTTCGCAATAAGAACCAGACGTCTTGTATTCAGTTAGTCTCCAGCTCGAACAATCCGGAAGGAGAACAAGCCGAAGCACATGCTCGCCTCCGTTTATTGAAAGAGTGGACTCCAGTCATTGTAAGAGGCACGCTCGCCGAGCGCCGACCAGCAAAAGACGATCACTTCCTCGGCATGAAGTTGGTCACTACTCGGGAAATCGCTGTAACACGCGTAGAGCCACTCAATGAAATTCCTAACGACATAATCATTAAGAATGACACAGTTTTTGGACCAGACCAGCGGCATTTGCAGCTTCGCACAGATTCGGAGCTACGTTCTAACATCCTTCTGAGATCAAAGGCCATGGCTAGAGCAAGACTGAGTTTGATTGAAGTTGATTGGAAAGAGATTGAAACGCCTATTCTTTTCAAGTCGACACCCGAGGGTGCGCGAGAATTTCTTGTACCAACACGTCAAAAGGGCCTTGCATATGCATTGCCGCAAAGTCCTCAGCAATACAAGCAGATTCTCATGGCTTCTGGATTTACGAAGTACTTCCAATTTGCCCGATGCTTCCGCGACGAAGATCTCAGGGCTGATAGACAGCCCGAGTTCACGCAGGTTAGTTCTACTGCACGAATATATCTATCTCTTCTGACGATTGTCTATAGCTTGATATGGAAATGTCTTTTGCAGACGAAGAAGATGTCATGAGAGAGACAGAGAGGCTGCTAAGGAAACTCTGGCAGCGCGTGCTTAACCTGAAGACTCCTGAGACATTCCCACGAATGACGTATCACGACGCAATGGCATTGTATGGATCCGACAAACCAGATCTACGCTACGAGTCCAAGGTAAGACATGTATGCTGATATACTCATCGACCTGACTTTAACATGTATAGATACACAACATCACGCAACATCTGACATCCGACCTAATCAGCAAAATTACTCCGCTTGAGAATCCAACCGTCGACGCTATCAAGATCTCCATATCCGAAGACCCAAAAATAACCCGCAAATTCATCGCCAACTTCCTCGACAGCCCAGACGGCAAACCCTATCTCGACAACCCCGACGGACAACCCGGCGTCTTCATCGGCGACCATTCCAAACCAATGAACGGTCTCGGTCCCCTAGGCCACGAATTCTCCATGGAAGGACCCCAAACCCTCATCCCCGACCACGGCGACCTCCTCATCCTGCAAGCCCGCCCTGCCGTCCCCTTCTCGGGTGGCTCCACCTCCCTAGGAAACCTGCGACTAACCCTTCACAAAGCAGCCATCGCTCAAGGCCTCGTCGGTGCCCCCGCCAAAGACGACTTCCGCTTCCTCTGGATAACAGATTTCCCACTTTTCACTCCCTCCAGCGACTCCGAACCAGGCCAAGGCGGCACTTCCGGCTTCTCATCTACCCACCACCCCTTCACCGCCCCGAAAACACCAGAAGACGTCGATCTCCTCCTTACTTCTCCCTCGGCCGCTACAGCAGCACACTACGACATTGTCGTCAACGGCGTCGAGCTTGGTGGTGGCAGCCGCCGCATTCACTCTGCTCCCATGCAAGAATTCATCTTCCGCGATATACTCCAGATGGCGCCCGAGCGTATCGAGGATTTCAGACACCTGCTCGATGTCCTGCGTAGCGGGTGTCCGCCGCATGCGGGAATCGCGCTGGGATGGGATCGCCTGATGGCGATGATGTGTGGGCGGGAGAGCGTAAGAGATGTTATTGCTTTCCCGAAGAGCGGGCGGGGCGAGGATTTGTTGGTTAAGAGTCCGAATGCGGTTACGAAGGAGCAGTTGGGGGTGTATGGGCTGAGGGTTGAGGAGTAGAAGATGGGAAGCGGGGGGGGTTTTGTAGAGTATTTTGTAAAATAGAAAATCTCCTGATGTTAGAATTGGATTATCCTGTCTTAATTACGAATCAACTTCAACTCCATCTCAAATCTCTCGGTGCGACTATGCGATTTATCTCCCGTTTGCGACGGGCTCGGCTTAGTACGAGATAACCGCTAAGATCGCAACCGGGAGATTTGAGATGGAGTTGAAGTTAATTCGTAATTAGGATAGGATAAGATGTGTGAGAGAGAGATACTAATAATACAGCCAATATATAGGTATTGGAGCGCTTTACTGCACTACGTGTGCTTATTACAACCCTATTTCGTTGTGCGGTTGTCTCATCGCAACCGTAATTCGCTATTCTACTACCTTTACCACAACCGTGTTGTATTTAGTCATTGTACCCAATAGAAATGTATTATTACTAAACTCTTCCTTAGGGTTCAAAGCAGGGTCCCGCAGACCCTTTACAGGTTTTTATTTTATTTTAATTACAAAGTTATTTTCTTTAAAAAATACCCGATTCTGGTAGGTTGGGGGTGTAGGCCTGCTAATTCTTTCAAGGATGATTGATCTGATAGACTATATAGCAAACAGAGATAACGTGTTTCACCAGTGATTCGGCCACCCCAGTGATTTGGCCACCTCTCAAGACTACTACACCTTTATAATAGTATTGCGCAACACCACCNCAATTTTTATTATTAAGTAGAATAAGATATTATTCTTCAGACACGTCGCTATCCTCTATATCCTCTAATTCTACTTGGCAAGTGCGAGAGTTATGTCCAATTTGGCTGCAACGCCCGCAGCGCCGTTCACTGCGCACCCTCTTCGCAGACGTTGCACCATTATTACACCCATCACCCTCTGCCTCAGCGATCT